CTTTTAGGTTCATCTCTAGCCCAGGAGAAGGCCCTACTCCCTCCCTTCCATGCCCTGACCCTTGACATGCTTATTTAGCTCTAATAAAGTAATAAAGCTTGGTTGTGAATATAATCAGGGCTTGTTCTGTGACTATGGGAATGATGAAGGGGCCTCCATATTCCCTCCCAGTGCCTAGACATTTGTTGGTAGGGTACCCTTTACCTGCTCTAGCTTCTTACTACTTTGTCCAGGTCTTAGTGTACCCACTGTTTCCATTGGCATCCCTTGCCTAGACCAAACTTTTACTGGAGTTAGCCTTCCTCTCAAGACTACAGAGGATTACTGAGGTCTGCTGATTCCTCCATGCCTAAGCTCCTGCCCCAGGGTAGATCAGTATTGCCTCAGCCTCCTCCACTCAGGGCCGAGTATGTGGGGGCTCTTAAAGGAGGGCCCGCAGCATTCTGAACAGGTCAGGAAAGCTGGGACTCTGGATTCCTAGGGCCCAGGGCTATCAGATCCTCAGGAATTCAACCCCATTCACGCAACCTGATAAAGCAGGAACAGAGCTCAGGAGTAGGGCTGAGCCCATCCTGACAAGTTCTTTATCTGTGCCAAGAGAAGTTCTTGGGTCGGATTCTGCCCCAGGCTTCTCTCCATTCCAGGCCCCAAACAGTAGGCACAACAAAGATGGACCCAATCAGGCCCTAGAAGCTGTACACCAGGGTAGGAAGTGGATAGTGCCAGTCCTGATGACTCACTACCCTCTGGCCTCAGGGACACCAAGAGGCCACCATTATGCCACTCAGTGGAGAAGGGAGGGTGAGTAATTGCCAGCTTCCACAACTGCCCTCTTGCCTGCCCCACCTACCACCCTATGGCAGCATACTGGCCAACGAAAGGTTAAATCCAGAAGGTCAAGGAGGGTGGAGCCCTGTGGTGTACAGACTCCCCTCAGTGCTGGTAAAAGCCCAGAGTGTAGGTGTCCCCAGGGGTGGAGCTCTGAGCTATGGGGCTCCAACTTGTCCCACTGACAACACTCCCACAGGAAGGGTTTGTGTAAATAAGGTTTTTTTTTTTTTTGGTTTTTTTTTTTTGGTTTTGCTTCTCTTCTACAAATAAATTAAGAAACAAACTAGAAAATTGTCTGCACCCATTGCAGCCAGGTGTGGGGTGTGCCCTGTCCCTGCAGGGCCAAAAGGGTCCATGGTTCCCTCAAATATCAGAGCAGTCCAGGTCCAGGCTGGAGACAGGTCATGACCTCTTGGCAGGCTCATTCCTGCAGCTGCCCCAAACAGCCAGACTGTCCCTGGGGCTCCTCCAGGCCCGGGTGCTGGCTGGGAGAGGAGGTGTCTGGCAGGTCTTGGCACGGAGGAGAAGGGCTGCTGCAGGGCCTCTCAGGGGAGGGGTTGGCCAAGTAGGCATTCACCAGCTGCATGATTTCTTCCACCTAAGAGAGGGCAGAGGTCAGAGAGCAACGGGGGCCACTGGGCTCTCCTGTCTCATCGTCCACCCAGGCTCCGTACCAAGGCATTACATGAGCTGACCCCTGCAACCTTTCCTTCCTCATCATCACTCTTTCCCTCATTCACTATGTGCCAGCCACACTTGCTTCTTTCTGCTCCTCTAATATGCTGAGTTTATTCTCATCTCAGGGTCTTTGCACTTGCAATTCCCTCTACCTCGAATGCTGTTCCCCCAGATCTTCTTATGGCTAACTTATATGTCACCTTCTTTGAGTATTCTTTCCTGACCATCCTACCTAATGTTATGGCTCCTTCCAGTCACCTCCTATCACATTACCCTTTCCTTTGTAGCATTTATCACTGTCTTAAATAGTCTTTGATTTCTTGTTTAGAATCTAACTTCCCTGCTCTAATGTAAGCTCCTTGAGCTTGTCTTGGATCACTGACAAATCTCCAGTTCCAAGGGCTGTACCTGGCCCATGCTCAGTGTTTAATAAATGTTTCTTGACACCCTTCCTCTTCCTCCCTACTTCCACACCCCGCTTCCCACTCACCTGGGGACTCTGCAGGAGGAGCTGGCTCTCTCCCACCCTCAATGCTAGGGTGTGGGGGCCCATTAGCTGGCAGGCGGCCACATGGCCATAGCTGACACTGTGGATGGGCTCTGTCTCACCGGGTCGGGAGAGGGACATGGCCTTGGCTCCCAGGCCCAGGCATAGCTTCTGTGGAGCACCCCCACCAGGCTCCTGCAGACAGACAGGCAGAGTCAGGGTGCAAAAAGGGGACCCTGCTGCATTGTTTTTGGTGGGAAGAGATAGCTGTGCACAGGAAGTTTCCTCATCTCCCTATGATCCACAGTGCATGTGTGGAGGGGCTAAGGCTTCAGGGACCTGAGGGCCCAGGAGCCAGCCAGTGAGTCCTGGGGTGTGAGATGGGCAGCTGTGCTGGGTGTAGGGGGTAAAGTGACCCACAGTTGGGGCCTCTGGCTCTGGGGCAGGTGTGGGGCTTGGGCCACCAGAGTCCCCTTCTCCCTTCTCCCCCTCACCGTGCTCAGCTCCAGAACGTCATACCGAGCAGCGCCGAACCCTGGACACTGCGCCGCCAGAGCCAGGTAGGCAGCCATGGCCTCAGCTCGGCCCATGCCCCGTAGCCGCTTCCAGCCGCCCAGCACAGCAGCCGCCGTGCCTGCGCCACCTCCTCCCTCTCGGGCCAAGCTTCCTGCTGTGCGGCCCGCCCCGCCGCGCCGGGCCCGCTCCGCTCTCCTCTTGGCCAGTCCCGGACTCCAGATAGCCCCGGCCAGCAGGGCGGCAGAGTGGGGAGGCCTAGGGATCGAGCGAGTAGGGTCTTCACGAGGCGGGGCCGGGGTCGGCAGCAAGCGGTCCAGGCGAGGCAAGGGCGCCCTCGGGGAGAAGTCCAAGTGCAGGCTCTGCAGGCGCAGCGCCGCCAGGGCGCGCAGCGCGTCATCCGGCGGGGGAGGTCGGCCGCGCAGCAGCAGAGCGTGAGCCTAAGGTGGAGGTACTGGGTGTCAGCGAGGCAGCAGCGTATAGTCGCGAAAACACCTCGGGGCGAGGAATCTTAGGTCTGGATTCGAGTAAAGCCTCCCACAGGGTTGCCATAACGACGAAATACGAAGTCCCAGCAAGGGAGGAGTTCAGGCTGAGGGGTCTTTTGGAGGTGGGCGTGAACGCCGGAGATCCTCACCTGCTCAAAGAGGAATGGCAGTTCGTGACCGTCTGGGGACAGCCCCTCAGGGTGCAGAGGTCCGTGAAGACGCAGACACAGTCTCCAGCTGGAGTCGGACGAGTCCTCCAGTCCGACTTCTTCCGCCGCCAAACTGCAGCAGAGAACAGGTCGCTACGCAACTCAGAAGCAGGGACCCCCAAGGCGCAGGCCGCTAGGGGCGGGGCTAGATGTTGGGGGCTGGGGCAGGGAGGAGTGGACTGCGGAGGTGAGCCTTCAAGCCCGATTGCAAACCGCTGGCGGGGAGGAGTCCTTCTGGGAACCAGCAAAAGTCACTGTGTAGGGCAAGTGGCAAGCGCTCATAAACGTTTGTTTAGGGTTTGACCGAAGCTGAGAGGCAAATGGGCTAACGAAGAGCAGGGCTGGGGCTGGACATTTACTTCTCAAACCTGGTGAGCACGTCGGCCACTAGAGTCCCCCCAGCCAGGGCTCGCTCCTGGGCCCCTCGCTGTTCGTACAGCGCGAATGCGTTGCGGCTCCGGGCCAAGCCCAGCCGCCCCACCAGCTCTCGAGCCACCTGGAGGGGAGGGGAGAGAGTGAGGGGAAAGTCAGACCGCACAGGGGTCCTGCTAGGAATTCTGGAGGGGCTAATCCAACTGGAGGGGTCTTTCAGGTCTCTCAGTCCCACTACACACACACCCTCACCCAAATGATGAATCTCAGGCTCTGGGCAAACCTGGGGCCCGCGCACCAGGAGAGCTAGGCATGGGAAGCTGGGAGGAAGGGCTGGGGCTTCACCGGTCTTTCTGTGGCCTTACCTCTGCCGCCGTGGTGTGCGAGTCTATGGCCACGGGGCAGGCACCGGCCCCCGGACAGTGCACCGTGCACAGCAGCTCTTGCCGACGGCTCAGGGCAGAAATCTCCGACAGCGAGGGCACCAGCTCTCGGCCGCGCGTCCGGACCAGGGCTTTGCGAATGAAGCGCGCATATTCTGCCAGTTCTGAGTCCGGGAGCGCCTGCTCGGTCCTGGGTTGGGGACAACCCACCGAGGATCAGTGCTCGGAGGGTTTTCCTTCTCCCCCTCCCTCTTGCCTTCTTATTTTATAGTTTATTCCATCTCGTCGATTCCCTCCCCTTCAATTCTAAGTTCCTTGAAGGAAGTTACAGGCTCTTCTAAATCTACCCCC